AGCTAATGCAACTACATACACACAAATCAGACTTGTAGAAAACTAGGGTACAATATTCATGTATACATATGTATATGAATTTGGTTTGCGAATTGCGAAATACATACATATGTAACTAAATACATATTTTGACAACATATTTATTTAGTATTTAACTTAAAAATCTGTAAATATAATAAATGTAAAATGGATTAATTAATTGAATTTAATTCACAAATTATATTAATGTTTAATCCTACATATGGGAAGTAGAATGAAGTGGAATTCGTATTCGAAAAACTCTATTTATCGTAAAACTATATATTATTACCGTAAAAATAAGTTCTATTTAAATTAAATATTTACAATAAACGTCCGTATTTCTGATTCATTTTTAAAAAAAACTTGCTGATGCAGGAGTAAGGTTATTTGTAGGAAAATATTTACGTTATATGACAAAATCTTGGATTAAATCTACGATAAGGTTTGAAAAGTGTTTACATATCAAACTGAAAATATCTTAAACTTCACGTCAGAATTTAACTATTTACTTTGAAAATTGCATATGATCGAAATATAATTCAGCTGATTTCTGCCCAAAACTTTCACAAATAATTAATTGTTGCCATTTTACTTCTAAAATATCTATCTGACAGTTAGCATAATAACAATAGAACTTTTTTTAATTTTAAACTACACTAAATCCAAATGCTGACAATTAATTTCAATAAATATGATTGACATAAACAAAATAAAAAAAATTATAATAGCCTAATTTCGCTTAATAATCTGAAATTTTTACAATAAATTAGAAAATTTTGAAAAACAAGAAAAGATTTATAACAAAACACTCAATTAATGGAAAAAAAACAAATCGGCATAAATAAATTATTTTGATAATAAATTCTATTTTATTTTGTAGCGAATATTTAATCAAAGTTTTCATTGGGGGTACTTGCGCCAATATGAACTTGATATTGTTGAGTGTGTTTTACGGTATTATGGTGTTGTCTATTTATTTATAATATTCTTTTATATATGTAGGTATGTACATATAATAATCGTACATGCAAAATCTCTCATTTTTTTAGTTTAATGATTGTTTTTTTTTAGATTGACAACATTTAAAACGAAATAAATTTAGAAATGTGGTAGGCATTTACATATGTATTTATCTATATGTATGTGTGCATCCATAAGACAAGCTGATAATATTTTGATTATGCATGCAAGTTATACATCGTGAGTATAAGTATGTATATGTAGTTATACATTAAATTTTCTAGCAAAGCAATACAACTAGAATGATGAAGTCCTAAAGACTTTGATTTGAAGTTTAAAAATTTTTCGAAGCATGTAAAAATTTTTATTTCCCGACTTACAAATTTTTTCATTTCAATTTAAAATTGCTCATTTTTCGTACAACATGTTAGGCCTTTTAATAAACGAAGTATATCACGATCAGTGTTCCCACTCGATAAAAACAAAATGTATCCAATTTCGAGAAAAAAATGTATCCAAAATGTATCCAGCCTTTTAAAGTATACATAATTATTATACAAAGTCGTCTTATTTTGTACAAATAAATTCATATAAATAATATTAATTTACCTTATTCAACAATGTGAGTTTCGTTATTTATAGTAAATTCTTTTAGAAATCATACGCAATTTCTATTGCACTTTAAAAGTTAAGGTCAGAAAATATAAATGTTCTGTAGCTGCTGAAACGATTCACTATGAAAACGGACAAATTCTATTTAGTCAGCAAATAAAATTTTTTTGGAAGATATTCATATTCTTCACGTTATTTTTTTGCAGTATTAGGTTTATGAAAATCTCTATTATATCTTGTTCTCTATTATAGACTTGTTTCCACATGTTCACATGATGCAGGATCTTTTTTAATACATATTTGAAATATTCTGTGTTGTCTATATACATTATGTCATTGTTATTTGTTTGTAATTAATAAATTTGTGACGTAAATTAAAAAATAAATATATAGTTTGAGCAGGTATCAGACAAGTAATTGAAAAAAAAATTGTATGTAGATGTGCACGAAACAATTCTATAATCAAGCAGTACATGCAAAAAATTACATACATATGTATTTGCCTGGACCCTAAATGATAATTATGACGCTGCGCATGTCTTTGTCAAAGTCTTGCGAACGGCTTGCTAATAGTACCTTGCTAATAGTACATCGCAAGACTGTATTTGATAACTTTCTTTTAGGTACTTTTTATAACCATTTTTGGAGGTTAAGACTCTCCTGTAAGAAATATAAGTATCCTTCTAGATTCCCTTCAATAAACTTCTATTTATTTTTCAATTTCAGTTAGTTCAGGTCTCAGACTAATCCCGAATTCTTTATCCGGCATTTATAATTGGGGGAAAAAGAAGAAAACAGGAAATAACAGGCTTATGTTACACCAATTAAAATTTGTCAAAAAATTCAATAAATTTTAATTTAAGTAATTATTCGCTACTTTTTTAAAAAGAAGTTATCATAGTTGGCATTTTAAGCAAATATGAATTTTTGGTACTGTGATTAGTAAAGTCGACGAACATTTAACCGAATTTGAATGAAAATTTTATGTGTTTACATTTGATGTCTTGAACTAACAACATTTTGAATCTCGTGAATAAAATTATCGGCTGATCATAAATTGAATAATTGATGAATTCTCTAGATTCGCTCCATTCGCTCCGCCGGAAATGCGAAAAGGGGCTCCATGTGAAGATATTTCATTTGAAAATAAATAAAATACTACCATATCTATGAGATTTTGTTTTATTTTCTGACGAAACATAAAAATATTTTCCTCCTTTATTAATAATATTCATATGCGCACATCGGTACATATATTTGCGTCATAGCCCATCAAAATAAAGATTCAATATAGTAAATTCACAATGTTGTGGACTTGTATGTGAACTTTCTAGAATCGTATCCCTTACACAATCTCTTATAGCAACGTAATCGAACAAATCGATTTCAATTACAAATTGAAAAATGGAAAGTAAATTACTTTTAAATAAAAATCAGTAAAGGGACAGTATTGCGTTATATTACATAAGTATATTAAAACTTGTAATAATGACTAATAAACTTTAGAAAAAAAGAAAAACATATTTTTCCATTAATAATATTCAACCTTTTATAAACAGGAAATTTTGCATATTGTACGGTTATTTACATTATATATTATATTCAAGTAGTTGGTTTTGTATACATACAATGTGGTGCTATAATTATGATTGACATGATTGATAAACTCTATTGATTTTAATATCAAGATTTTATTTATATGAGTTAATAAAAATGCAAAACATTTTTCTTATTTACTTTAAAAATTTTATTTTTTATTTTTCACAGTCCGTAAGCAAAATTTTTAGAAATGTCGCTACCATTCATTCTACTAATTATTTCTGCGGTAAAATATAATTGAAAATTGACATGCAGTATTTGATGGTAGACATGTAATTTTTAGTTTGAAACTGCTGTTTATTGGTTTAAGTCTATTAACAGGTGAAGTTTTAAAAGGAGAAATTGAATATGTGTAGAACAATAGACAACTTCAAAGATGTTTAAAGCAAATTATCTGAATTGCAAAAAGTGTGATACAGTATTTAAAAAATGTTTTATTATTTTAAATTTATGTTCACAACTCAAAAATAATATATACATACACATGTATATTACTTGCTAATAAAATGAATAATATTTACAAAATTGCTTTACTGGTAAAGCCAACTTCATGATTCTACAACAAAATAAAATTTAATGTTTTTCGTAACATTTGCAAAACAAAAATTTAAATTTGAATATTTTTCATTTTTACAAAAACGAAAATTTAAATCGTATCTTAAAATAGCTTGCTATTTGGTTGCATTAAAAATAAGACAATATGGTAATGCTAAAATTTGCTAAATCATAAAATTTGACATTGTAAATTTAACTTAAAGGTACACTATATGGGAGTGTACTTTATGTTGACTTAATTTTTTTTATTAAGTTATGAACCAATTATTTTTGGGACAAAAGATGTGATTCTAAATTTTTACGTCTTTCGAATTTTTTCAAATCAACATAAAAATCTGATTATATTAAAAAAATAAAATCCATGACAAATACATGAAAAAATGCAACACAGTTTACATTAATAAAAAAGCAAGCAGATACATACATATATATAGCAATTTTATTCGAATGTGTACATAGATATGTATGCATATACATTATATGTGAACGGAGATATTTTTATCAAAATTTAACTAAAAATTAATCAACTGTAAATATTACACAAATATTGCATATTGCTACAGAACTATCATCCATTTTTTCATCATTGATTCAATGGCACATCACATCTCTTGTTTTTTCATTGGAATTATCACATGACGCGATTGGGTATTACTCAAAATGACAAAAGTACTGAATAATATCCTATTAAATTATGTAACGTGTCAAAAAACATAAACCTATTATATGTCTAGGCGTGTTGCATTAAATCCAATAGCGTTCTTTTATTTTCAGGCCTTTTATATTTTCATTTTAAAATTCTTTTAATAATGCTTAAAAAAAATTTTCAATTAATTTACATTTGCTTTTTTTAAAAGAAATTTTTTTTGTAAAAAATGTTTTGAATTTTTTTGACATTTTAATTTACAATCAAAATATAAACTCAGGAATCCATTCAATTTTAAAAAATAAAGAAGAATTTTAATTTTTTCTTCAGTTTATGCATTTCGATGTTTTTAATTTTGAGAAGAAAATATAAAATTTAGAGCCCATATATGCCAACGCGGTTAAAAAAAAGGTAAAAGCATCGCTTGATGTGTGTGTATGTTTTATATTCAAAAGAATAATCTAAAACAATTCAAATGTTTCGAAAAAGTTTTGTTAGATGGCCGTGTACACAACCCTTATGACCTTTTAAAATAGCTTTTCAATCGTACTGTACGTTTTGACAGTTGTCATTTTGATAAAAAATTAATTTGCGCTGTCAAATGAAATAGAAGGAAAGCATTTTACATCCTGGGGGATAAATTTTTATTTTTATACAAGGTGAAAAAACAAGAAAAGACGCATTTAATAATAAAACAGGAATATCTTGGATAAAGTTGTGATTGAAGATAAAAATATCAATATAAAGTGAAGTAAAATGGTGAACGAAGTTGTATTAAATGAATTTCAAAGCAAGATATTTGAGAAAATATCAAAGAATGAAGTGGATGATTTTAAAGCACTATTGGCTGTTTGTAAGGATACAGTAAATTTTGTAGATAAAAATGGTATGACTCCGCTTCAACATGCATGTTATAAAGGCAACAAGGAAATAGTACAAATGCTTTTAGACCAAGTAAGTACATGCACAATACCGAATCAACAAATTTGCGACGCCGCCGTATTAATCTTTCGATAAATATATACATGCATACTTATGTATATGAAAATTGAGGTTATATTTTTATTTTTATTACTTCCGTGAATTCTTTTTTATATTTTAGGGAGCCGATGTCAATTATAGTCAACATGGTGCTGGTTATACTTCATTACATTTTGCTGCATTATCTGGAAATACAGATGTTTGTGTTTTATTATTAGATGCTGGAGTCAATGCAAATACTTTAAATTCTGTATCGAGGACAGCAGCTCAAATGGCAGCTTTTGTTGGAAATCATCAATGTGTAGCTACAATTAACAATCATATTTCAAAATCTGAAATAGAATGTTATACAAAATTGCAAGGGCATCAAACTGAACCATATTTGCAACCTATTTTACTGGATAATTTTCATAGATTTGTTATACAAATAAACATTCATCCCGTTCGGGTTGCATTAAATTTGCAAAAATATTCTTTATCGGATCATTTGAAATCAGTAAACAAAGTTTTAGAACTTATGATGGAAAAAGAGATGCAAAAAAAATATGATGTAAATGAGTTGATGGCTTATAAATATCATTATTTAAGTTGGATTGTTAAGGAAATAATGCGATGTCAAGAGCATTTCCAAAATGCTAAAAAAGATAATAAAACTGATTCTTCAAACGAAGGGAAGCATGATTTTATCGAATTGTTTGCAAAGAGAGTACTAAAGGAAAACAAATTGGGCCAATTAGATTATTTAGAATATACAATAAGAGATTGTGCACGAGAATTTCCTTACAGGGAATGTACAATTTTTAGACAAGTTGTATCACAATTGGCTAATAAAGATTCTTTGCCAGCTTTAGACATTTTAAAAAATGCAATTAATGGAAGTAGAGGATTTGTGGTACGTGAAATATACATAATTTCAAAAAAATATTTCTTAAGACCTCAAAATGTTTAATATTAATTGGTTACATTGACAATATTTGTTTCAGGATGATATAACATTTTGTAGCTCATGTGGGGAAGAGAAACCGGATAAGAAATGTTCAAAATGTAAACAAGTGCAATATTGTGACCGCGAATGTCAACGTCTTCATTGGTTTATGCATAAAAAGAATTGTGCAAGACCTACATCAGCTTCTGCATCTGCTTCAGGTAGTCAATCTGCTAAAAAGGATATCGATGCTAATGACATAAGAGAACAATTACAAAATTTAGTTGCTAGTTAAAAACCTTTCTATCTTAATTAAATAATCTAAAGCAGAAATAAATCTAAAACAAATATTAAATTTGTGAACATTAACTGCTTGTACTGTAAACAAAATAAGTAACAAATGATTATTTTAATCTTAAAAAAATTTAAATCATAGGATAAAATGAATGATAAAATTATTACTAAATTATAATTTAACATCGTCACTTTTTAAATGATTTTTAAACAAATAATTTTTACTAGATTTTAACAATAAAAGCTGTATGCCATATGTAATTTGAAGTGTTTTTTTTTTTTTTTTTTGATCTAATAACATAGCTGGCATGAAAATGTAGAGGATTTTTGTTCTCTAAAAAACAATATTAGTTTTTTTTCGTTGTTTTTTCATTTCGGTTAGTGTTAAGTTCTAATAAGAAAAAATATAAATTTGGTAAATTTTTATTGTACAAAAATTACGAGCGTTGGATTTGTTAGTAGTAGACAATTATAGTTTTAAAATATAAAACACGTGCATTTAATTCATTTTTCAAATTTCCTTTAATTTAGAATTGTACAATTCCTGCCCATGTACACTAAGAAAAAAAAAATAAAGAAGAACAGTTTAAATCTTCTCAATGCTTATTTAAAAATAAGCAGACCAATTATATTTATGTATGTGAGTAATAAGTCTAAGCATAAAATTAACATTTATTTTTTTTTTTGAAAATTCAAACTAAATCTATTAGAAAAACGAAAAGTTTTTAAATTTATGCAGGTTTAAAAGTCTAATAGTCTAATTTTGATGGATTTTGCGATAATTAAGACGTGTAGATCTAAATTTTAAAATCTAAGTTCTAATCTAAATCTTAAAATTTTTTTTTGCATGATTACTGATCTAGAAAAACTAAATGTGATGTAGTTAACTACATACATTCATATAAATTTTTATATTTTTGTAATATTCCTCATTTTGTAATGTGCTACAAAAAGCAGAGTTTTATCGAACATGCTAAATTTGTAGATTTAGTTTCGATTTATCAAACATCCATCATTTTAAGATTTTAATTAAAGAACTGTGTTATCAAAAAATTCTATTTATTCTATTATTTTTTGAAGAATAATTTTTACAAATATGTAATTCGAATTATTTTTAAAGCTTATGTCAATTGATTGATTTTCCATATTTATTTCAAATACATTAGCCTAATAAGCTAACGAAGAAATAAACTGAAGAAGGGTTTAATTTTATGATTTCAAAGATAATTTTTAATAACTCGAATTTGAATATTCATATTTAACATTTGTGTTCTCTTATATTTTATAATAATGAGATTTTATTTGATACACATTTTTGTTAAGATAATGTAATTAAAACATTTTTAGAAATTATTTTGTATTTTTTTAAAATATAATACTTGATTTCAGAATTTTTAATGAATTGCACAATATTTATTATCGACCAAAATCTTTGAAAAATTTTGTAATTTTGTAAACATGGGGTTTCCTGAAATCAAACATATTTAGGGACACAATTAGCATATTCTGTTTTAAGTATTTTTCTTTATATCATGTTAAATTTTGTTTTTAAAATCAAATTTTTAGTGTCAAGCTTTATAATCTTTTAATTAAAAAACAAAAAATAAACAAAAAAACTCAAAACAAAATTTACTGTAATATTAAATGAATATGTAATCGTGTGTAGAAAACTGTATTAAGTGTTCTGAATGTTGTCTGTAATTTGTATCCGAAATAAAAACTAGGAAATTTGAATAAAATTACAAGTTTATTTGAAATTTTAGGCTTTTTTTATAAAAGAAAAACTAAATATAAAGAAAACGAAATAAGAAAAGTAGTTTTTGTTCTCATTCTGAAGGAAACTAAATTAAAACCAAAAAAAAAACAAGATTTTTAAACTAATTTAAAAATTAAAAACAAAAATATTTTAGGAAAGAAAAAAGAATTAAATATCTAATTATTAGATTAACGAAGAAGAAAATTGAAAAAAAAAAACTGGAAAACAAATTTGAAAATCAGGTATTGTAAACTTTGTTTTGTATAGTCAGTAATTGTAAAGTAATTGTATAACTTCAAATTAAATAACGAAAGTATAATAAAAGAAAATTTGAATGAAATTATTTTTTTTTATTTACTTAACTTTAATGATATTTTAAAATGAGGGCAAAAAAAAAATTTTTTTTTTTTTAGGGATTAAATGAAGCTACATATGTAAAATCGTAAAAAGTAGTCAAAGGAATTTTTTGTTAGATATGCAGAATTATAGAGGATTTTCGATAATTCATTTCTAATTTACGTCTTAATACACCACAAATTGCCCCAATATGGCCTAAGTGTACCCTTAGGGGAGTCGTGTTAACATAAGTCTTATTATATAGCACGTTCAATAAATTCAAACTCCGAAATCTGCAAATATGGAATGTTTGGAAATGAAAATTGTGATTAAAGTTCTATAAAGGAATTTTTTTTATAAAAATTAGTGTAAAAATATTTTACATTTGATATTGAAAAATTCCCAAATACATTGCAAATCGGCAAAAATAAAATATTCAGTCTCTGCAGATTTGTAGGTATGTGTGGAAATAGTTTTCAGATTGAATTTAAAACTTTCACTGCATATCTGAAATATCACCATAAGTTTTTAATTGCTTGTAGCGAAAAGTCGTGAACTATAAATTGTAAGAATTTAAATTAAGTAAAATATCAAAACTAAAATAGATAAATTAATATTTAAAATCATATAAAATTTTTATTATATAATAAAAAATCTTTTGATATTAATTTGACCCGAGTTTTCTATAGTAGATATATATATATGTACATGTTTAAATAATAAGTATTATAAATACTAATTTTTGTTGGAAGAACCAAGATTTTAAGAGTGTTATTAGTAGCTTTTTTTTGCACAATTAAGGATTAAACAAGATTGACCTGAATTTCATTGTATTGTTAAAAATAAGAATAAAAAAGAACTAGAAGAAGTATGTTAATACAAGCAACAAACACAAGGTGAAAGCAATTGACAACAATGGCGTTTAAAATAACAGAATATGTATTACTGAAGCATGTAATTCACCAGCTCCTCTATGTGCCCTTTTAATCCCTAAATACATAATTTTTTTAATATTTTTGTTTTGTATCTTTTTCATTTTTTTTTGCATATTGAAAGTGACCTTTCTAAATGTTTTTGTAAATTTATAAAAAGGTTCAATTGTAAACACTTTGTTCGATTCAAGAGTGTATTTTGTTGTCTTCTGCTTAAGTACTATTGTTATTGTTAACCAAAAGGAAAAAAGATATTTCTTTATATAAGAATATTTTTAAGAATACCAGATAAGTTGGATTTTAACTGGCTTTGTATTTATTGTAGTTATACTATAAGTACAAGGCTTTGAACCAACCTTATGTATATGTGTATTTATATTTCATCCTTAAAATATAAAAGGATGTGATTAAAAAAATTTGTTGTCTTTACGAAATAAATGCATTAATGACGTTATCCTTATTTAGATATCTTACTATTTTTATTTGTGCGGTAATTTTATGTTTTAAAAAATAATAATTGTTTTGTTTTTAGTTTGAAAATCATATTGCCGATGATTTTTTTAATTCATTTACATTTAACTACATGTTTTTTTAATTTTTCGTTTTAGGATTTTATGATAATCTTTTCTTAACTTAGGTGGATTTAAATAAGAAAAATTATTTAAATTTATTGTTCATATAATTATTTCAAATTTCTAAGATAATGGTTTTTGTTTTTCTATTTAAAAGAGGCCAGCTAAGAACATTAGTGCGGTATTTTTAATAATGCTTTTCGGAATGTTTGAAGATTAGAAATGTTATACTAGAAATTCGGTATAATATTGTGCAAAATTTTATTTGCACGCTTGAATATAATATTATAGTTATCTTTCATTTGTTGAGGGTTAGTTGTTTTATGAAATACTTTGAAAGAAGTTTTTAAAAGAATTGTTATGAGTTTTTCTACAAATTTAGACTTTAGTGCTTTTTCTAAAGATTTAGCAATTAAATCAATTGGATAAAAACGCACACTTAAAAATAGAAAATATTAATTTCAAATATTATGAACAGCTATTTAATTAGTAAAACAGAAATAAATAATTGTAAATTTGAATTTTGCCAAGATCATCTCTTTTTATTTTCTTGAATTTAAACTTGAACATATTTTTGTTTTCCAACTTTAAAATTTATTTGAACCGTTTTTGTACTATTTCACATAAAAAAAAGGCTTAATCTACTTCCATTATGTATATACAATAGTGATTTTGCTTCTTGATCTGAATTTCTTTAAATTTAAGATGAAGCAACGGCAATCCCATATTTCGGTTAGACTCATCACTTAAGATGATATAATAGAGATTTTAATAAACGCAATAGGCCAAAAACAACTTAATGAATACGCAATATATTTTTAAATATTTTATAAAATCAAAACATTTCATGTGATTTAAATGCACTAATCATAGTTATTTCGCTATATTCCGAAAAATTACCCATGTTTATGAATAAATAATGTTGCTATATTGTCTATGAACACGCACCTACGCCAAATATGGCAATATACTGTGTTTATGAGAAGACTAAATATTACTGAAATTTTTTGATTTTTAGTATAGGATTGAAAAATTTCGAAAATTAATTCAACATTCTCAGATAATAACAAAATTTTTGAATAATTTCCCATAACATCAAGTGATACGCCTAAAAAAAATTTGAATGAATAATTGAATTCATTATATTTTAACTTGCGTACCAAAATTGTATGTATGTATATTATAAAATAATATTGAAATTTAGCTAATATTTAATATGGAAATTGAGTTAATAATTTTCTAAAAAAATCTATATGTGTATGTATATGTATATGTATTACAAAAGAAAAAAAATCGAATTGAGATTTACGCTATGGAGCTAATTGCGAATACGTAGTAGCCATCCTGGTATATACAAGACTTACATACATATTATTGCATTAAAAAACGCTCATCGCAAAAATTTTGTATGTTTTGTATGAATGTATCATATACATTCTGTGTGTTTATAGAATATAGTTGTATTCAAGTAATCACACCGATATGCGTATAATGTATACATAATATATACGTAAACATATTATGTATATGTATGTATATAAAATAACAAACAAAAAATATTTACGCGTAAATTATGATTTTTCTTATTTGTTTTTGTTTTTAATTTATATCACCTGTATTGCACCTTTTGCACACATGAGTAATTTAATCCGATGTGATAAAAAATGAATAAAAAAATCCGATGTGCACAGTACATAATCGACAGCATTTCTAAAGTGTTGCATATAATTATATTTATTTATTACGAGAAGCAGAAATTAGACTTTAGTTAATGTATCCAGAAAAATGTAAATTTGGTTCTTAGTAGAAGTTCATTTTTCGCTTGATTTAATTTCACTGCCAATTATTCAATTTAATTTCGTTAACGCTTAAAACTCAATTACTATAATTGTCAGAAATTACGTCAATTAATTCCTGAAATAAGATCAAATAAGTAAAGTCGGCCCTTTTTGAAAGTTTTGTTTCCGAGTAAAATTTACTAGTTCGCTCTTTTAATAATAAGATTTCAAATATGATTATTGATCACAATAACCAGACAGACCGACATCTTTCTAAAAATAGTTTATTTACGCCTCCCTACAATGAACAACTGCATTTCAATCGAAGACTCGACATGCAAATTTGGTGCCATCACCATAACCTGCCTTGTTCTATGCAATGCGGTCGATAAAATTATATGATATTGTATTTGATCTTATTATTATTGTGTTTTTTTTACTCAATCAAAATTTTCCAATAAATGAACATTTTCAATAATATGCAACAAAACTGAATTTATGTTACATATATAAAAGTATGTTATTCACTGCATATGGCTACGAGTTCGAAATATACATTCTGTTTTTTTGTTTTTTTGCATTTTCAAAAATTTCAACACATGCGAATTTCAAAATGGATTTTTAAGC